AGAAAATGTCCAAAAAAAAAAGAAAAAAACTTATTGGAAAATGGGAAAAACGAAACCTTTGCGGAAAAATAAGGGGGGAGAAAAAAAAGAGGAAGGATTAAAAGGATTTAAAATTATTTTGATCCTTTTATTGCTACAATAAACCTCAAAATACTAAAAGCTTAACCTTTTTCATAACTTTTTCAATAATAATATTAATAATAATGATAATAATAATTAAAAAAAACGGAAATGGATAAGTAAACTTTAAATCATTATTATTATTATTATTATTATTATTTAATGGGAAAATTTTATCCGACTATCGAAAAAAAATATAAAAAATAGTAATAATAACTCACCCTTTAATGCCATCTTAAGGTGGCAACCTGTACCACGTGTACTGCTTTTAAAATAAGGTACGACGACTTGAAGCTCAAGGTCTACCGGTTACCAATATTAATTCAATCTTATAATGACCTTTTCCACGCATTTTTTTTCAACGTGTCCAGTCATCAACTTAAAATTTTTTTCTTTTTAATCCGGTCCCATTTTAAATAAAAAATCTTCTGCCGGGTTATTATTAGTCATCGCCACCATCTTAGTCAACAAACAAACGGATACCGTTTCAATTCTGTAATAAATAAATAAATAAAAAAATATATTAAAAACTGTTGTTGTTTGTTAAAAAATTATTTTTTTTTTTAAAGTGTCAAAAAATCGTTCAGTTTTATTTCTTTATTTATTTTATTTTATTTTATTTTGGGGTGGTTTCACGGCCTAACCACTTCAACCCCCGAAAAAAAAAATCTTTTTTTGTTTCTTTTGTTGTGTGTGTGTCTCGTATTGACTGTTTATATTAACTGAATTTTATAAACTGGATATTTTCAACCCTGGTGAGTTTCTTATAACTATTATTATTATTATTTTATTTTTTGTAAATGTTTCAAATGGTAAAAAATCAATCATTTTCAATAATAACGATAAGATTAATGTTTATAATGTTTAAAAAGTTTTTAAAAAAAAAGGAGTCAATAATTTAAAACTTTTCGAGTAAGTATCGAAAAAACTGATTTGCTTATGTAGAGAAAAATGAAAATTTAAATACCTGGAAAATAAAAAAATTAAAATGGAGGGAAATTAAAAAAAAAAAAAAAAACATTTTTCATCGATTTCTGATAGAAATTAAGTAGAAAGTTAAACGTCATCATCGAAATGTGTTTTCCTTTTTTTTTTTTTTTTTTATCTATAAACAACATTTAGCTCCTGCTGCTGCTGCTTTTTTTTTCTCCAGTCATCCATCAAAAAATTGTCTGCCATCAACATGCTTTTATTTTCCCAACACTCTTCCACCACCGCCACCACCACCCCCACGACCAAATCGATCAGTTTTTTATATATTTAACTGACGTTAACTGGAATTGACGTGTTATGTCCACATTTAAAATCCTTCTTAATTTTCACGTACGATCGAAAAACGTTTATCTACCCTTTCGTAATAATCACACCATAACCATAACCTTTATCATCATTATCATCATCATCATCATTTTACCCTTTTAATTCTTATTTTTATTCTCATTTTTTTTTACTTCTTCGATTTTTGTTTTTTTTTTTTTTTTGTTTTTCTCCAAAACGATTAAAACTTAAATAAAATCTAAACGAAAATAATAATAATAATACTGAGGAAAATCAATAAAAAAGGAAAATCGTAAAAAAAAGACAATAAAATAAAAATAATAATGATGATGATTTGTTTTTACTCAAAAAAAAAAAGAGAAGAAAAATTATATTCTGCTAACCGATATGAATTTTACGTAATAAGATTTAACCACTGAAAAACATTAAAAAAATGTAAAATAAAATTAATTATTTTTTATTAATCTACCGCAAATATATTGGAAACCCACGACACCCTTATTACGACCCTGTTTGCCACGTTAGCGCCGTTTATGTTTTATTACAAAGAAAATTTAACCGAAAAAAAAAATTTTTAATTAACAAAATAAATGAATAAACAAAAAAAAAAGACAAAAACAAAAAATTTTTTTTTCGAAATTATTATTATTATTATGAATGCGAGAAAATTCTAGAAAAAAATAATGATGATAATAATAATAATAATAAAAGGAGAATAAAATAAAAATGAAAACGTTTTCAAGGATTGAAAGCGTGTAAAAAAAAAAGGGAAAAGGAAAAGGAAAAGAAAAAAAATTTTTTTTTTTTTTTCGGTTGGAAAACTTTTTTTTTTTTTTTTAAATTGAAAAGTGTGAAAAACGATTTTCAATTTTTCTTTTTTCTTTTTTTTTTTTAGAATTTAAAAAACGTTTCGCGTTTGTCATCTAATTTTAATTCTGATTTTTTTTTTCGCTGGAATAAATATCAAAAAGAAAAAAAAAAGTTGTAAAAGAAAAAAATTTTTTTTTTTTTTTAAATAAAAAAAAGAAAAAAAAAAAAATCGAAAATGTTCAATTGAAGGAAACTTTTTTTTTTTTTAATTTCGAATTAAAACTAAAAAAGAAATCGAGGATTTTTTTGGAGGGAAAAGGAGGGAATGAGGAAAGGGGAGGGAGGGAGTTATAGAAAACCGTCGCATTTAATTTAATTTCCGTTAGAAAAAACAAAAACAAAAAAAAACAGAAAACAGATTTAATTTTTTACTATTTGTTAACGATAATAATAATAAAATTATTTTTAACGATAATTAAAATAAATTGTTTCCTCCCCTTCTCTTTCTTCCCCCCCCCTTCGATCCAGAAAAAAAATTTCAGTTTTGTAACAAAAAAAAAAAAATTTGAAAACAAAAGAAAAACTTTTTTTTTTTAAAAGTTATAACATGCACACGCACTCACACACACACAATAATGAGCAAACATTTTATTTAACACTTTTAAAAATTACTTTTAACATTTTTATTAAAAAAAAAAAAAAAAAAGTATTCAAATCTGCTGCCACGGTAATTTTTTTTTAAAAAAAAAAGTCGTTTCGTGCGATAATTTAAAATAAACTAAAAAAAGGAAAAAAAAAAAGAATGAAACGTATTCAAAAAAATTGTTTTTTTCTTTTTCGTAGTAATAAAAAAGAGGCAATAAGAGAGAGAGAGAGAGAGAGAGAGAGAGAGAGAGAGAGGAAGAGGAAGAGAGAGAGAGAGAGAGTGAGAGGAAAAGGAAAGGAAAATAATGAATTAAAAAATAAAAAAGCGAAAAGGCTGATGAAAAAAAAAATTAAAAAAAAAAAAAAAACGACAACAATAATAATAGTAATAATAATAATAATAATAATAATAATAGTGAAAATTAATTTAAGTGTCGCATAAATATTACAGGTACGGAAAAATGGGTACCAGAGTTGCCGCTTCTCTTTTTCCGGATAAAAATTTAACGGGAGTTTCCCAGCTTTTGGAAGATTTACAACGTTTAGCGGAAGATCACGAATCGGCGGATATTGTTTTCCTTTTGGGAAGAGAAGAAGTTCCTGTTTACGCTCACAGAATAATGTTAATGGCCAGGTAAGTTATTTTTTAATTAATTTTCATTTCCCCGCGCCCCCGCACCCCCACACCAAATCAAACCCCGAATCAAATAATTTTGGTCTTCTTTCCTATTCCCCCTACCCCGCATACACACTCCACGAAGTGAAAATTTTAAAAAATTTTTCCAAAAATGAACTTTTTTTTTTTGTGGTTTATTAAATAATTATAATACGAAAACAAACAAACAAACAAACAACAACAACAACAACAGGAACAACAATCGAGAGCAAACAAACTAAAAACTTTGAATTTAATTAAAATTTCGTTCCCACGTTTTTTTTTTTTTTTTTAAATTTTTGATTTTTATTAAATTATTTATATTCGACGAAGAGTAAAAAAAAATTTTTTTTTTTAATTGTTTAAACAAATTTGACTTTTATTTATAACAAAAAAAATAAAAATAAAAATGGCGGAATTTAAATAAGTCAATAGAAATAAATAAATAAAAATAAATTTTCCGACCGATTTAAAAAAAAAAAAAATGTAAAAAAAGGTAAAAAAAAAAAAAATCCATTAATTAATCTTTGGCTTCGAATCAAGGTTTCCATCGTTTTTTTTTTCCTTTTTTCCTTTCCATTCCCTTTTTTTGTTGTCGTTTCCGGGAACAAAAATCCATTTAAAGCCATTTGTCTTTCTTGTTCTTTTTACAATTCCACAAAATAAATTTAAAGGTGTCATTCAAAAAAAAAAAAACAGAACAGAACAGAATGGAACAGAACAAAAAAAAAAAAAAATTAAATTAAAAAAAAAAAAAAAAGGAAAAATAAAAATGGTTTAAACCTTTTTTTCCCTTCCTCCCTTCCGCCCTTCCTCCCTACCTCCCTCTCTCCCTCCTCACCTTCCGCCCTTCCTCCCTACCTCCCTCTCTCCCTCCTCACCTTCCGTCCTTCCTCCCTCCCATCCATCCTACTTTTCTATTTTTTTTTTCGAGTTTTGGGATTTAAATTGCTCGAGCGCATTTTTCGATGCGTAAATTTTAATAAAAATCAGAGCTGCCACCACTATCACACCCTTAATTTACTACCCTTAATAAACCTCGACATTTTTCCCTGCATTATCATCTTTTTTTTTTTCCATCGCTTTCAACGAAAATTTTTTGATATCTCTTAAGATTATCTTCAACGGACTCAATTTTCATTTCTCTCTCTCGTTGGCGACAATTTTCCCTCTTTCCTTTTTATATTTTACTCTTTTATAATATTTTTAATCTTCGACAAAAACAAAAAAAAAAAAAAAACGAGTCGTCAGTCAAATTTCTTTCGGATAATGTTACTTATTCTTTTTTTGTGTTTATATATAAACATTTTGATTTTCTTTTCAAAAAAAAAAAAAAAAGAAACATTAAAACAAACATTTACTATCACAAAAAATCGATCGATAAAACGAGGGGGTGGGGAGGGGGGAAACTCCCACTTCCTTTCCACAAAACGTAAAAAAAAAAAAAAACAAACAAAAATAAACAATTGTGTTTCTTTCTTTCCGACATTTTGAATTTTATTTATTTATATAAAATTTTTTAAAATTTCAATTTCAATTTATTTGCATTTTATACGACATAAAATTTTTGTCGTTTATGTTTATATATAAAAAATCTAAAATCATGAAGCGTTAATAAATAATTTTTACGTAAAATTTACGTCGAAAAAAAAAAGAAAAGAAAAAGAAAAAGAAAAAAAAATTAAATCGATTGTTAACGGTGCGAAAATAACAAGAAAATTTCCAAAACGTTCCCTCTCTCTCTCTCACGAATGAAAACGTTAAACATAAAAGAAAATTATTATTATTATTATTATGTATTTAATAAAATCTCTATCAATTTTCAATGGTTCCCGTTGAAATTATTTCTTATCAGTATATATTAAGCCTTCGCCGAAAGTTTTTGAATATTATATTGTTTCTTTTGTAATTTATACTTTTAGGTGTTGTGAAATCAGTTCTCTTAAATATTTAAGTTTCTCTTAATTATACTACAACAACTACAACTACTACTAATACTACTGCTACTACTACTACTACTACTACTATTCGTAACAAAATTTCATTTGTTTGTTTGTTTGTTTCGTCATCAGAATTCTTTTAAGAAAAAAGTAAAATTTATGGAGGTTTGATATGGTAATCGATCATAATATTAAATCCTTAGTTTAATTTCATTTATTATTATTATTATTATTATTATTATTACAAAACAACCGCCATTTTTTTTTCCTTTTTTTTTTTTTATTCTTTATATTCGCGTTAAAATTAATAAAAAAAAAAAAAAGAAAAGAAAAGGAAATTATTTAAAAAGGTTTCGATAAAAGTTTTGTTCATTAAATTTCAAGAGTGAATGAATGAATGAATGAAATTTTAAATTTAATTAAAGAGGAGGTGGAGGTGGAGTAGGAGGAGTAGGAGGAGGAGGAGCCTTTTTCCTTTGGAATGGTGGTGACAAAGCTTTTAGTATTTTCCTTTTAATGCTTTTACCGATGAAATGAAAAAAAAAAAAAAGGAAAAAAGGAAAATTTTGATAGGTAAATTTATTTATGCATCGAGAAAGCGAGCGTCTCTCTCTCTCTCTCTCTCTCTCTCCGTGTGTGTGCGTACGTGCGTGCGTGCATTTTTACATGTATAAATAAGAGAGAGAGAGAGAGAGAGAGAAAAGCTTTCACATCCTCTCTCTAACTTTTTAATTATTATTATTATTATATTTTTTTTTGTGTTAATAATAAATAATCTTTAACTCTTTCCCTTTTGTTCGCATGTTTTTAATACGTTCAAAAATAAGCTCGTCATCATCATCATCATCGTTTTTTTTGTATGATTCCCAGTTTGATATCATTTTAAATTTTAATTACAAAAATTTTTCACTTATGAAAACACACCAAAACCTTTTTTATAAGTCGTTTAAAGAAAGAAGAAAGGGAAGAAGAAAAAAAAAAAAGGTTTTCCCGAAAAGAAACAAAAAAAACTTGAAAAACAACAACAAATTAATAATTAT